AAAAAAAAAAAAAAAAAAAAAAAAAAAAAAAAAAAAAAAAAAAAAAAAAAAAAAAAAAAAAAAAAAAAAAAAAAGTCAGTAGAGAAAGAGAACACAATAAAAAGAGGGACGGGGAGAAGCATTTTGTAATTTGTCAAGATATGAGCTCTAAGCCCCAAATTTAAAGGAGAAAAAAACCTTTCCAGACAAAACAAACCATGTAATAAATTAATCATCACATAATTGGCTCAGGAAAACCATGGAGAGATTTCACAAGGCCAATACATAGCAAATTGCCGAATGAATGATTCAAAGAGCAAAAAGGAGCTCAGAAAGGGAGCAAGATATATGAGCTCAGCTTGTCTGCTAAGGCTGCCGGGAGGAGGCAAATTAGATCGGGGCCTGGAGGTAAGGGATGGATGAAACAGAAAAAAGGGGCATCTTGCCCCCACCTGGGAAGAGGGGCCAGAGTGGGTAGGGGGTTTTGAGGTCAGAGTGACAGCTGTGCATGCAAATTGTTTACAAAGCACTCACACCTGTTTCTCCTTTTAATCTTTTTTTTTTTTTTTTTTTTTTTTTTTTTTTTTTTTTTTTTTTTTTTTTTTTTTTTTTTTTTTTTTTGAGATGGAATCTTGCTCTATCACCCAGGCTGGAGTGCAGTGGTGAAATCTTGGCTCACTGCAACTCCTGCTACCCAGAGTTCAAGCAATTCTCCTGCCTCAACCTCCTGAGTAGCTGGGATTATAGAAGCGTGCCACCATGCCCAGCTAATTTTTGTGTTTTTAGTAGAGAGGGGGTTTTGCCATGTTGGCCAGGCAGGTCTTGAACCCCTGACCTCATGATCCACGCGCCTTGGCCTCCCAAAGTGCTGGGATTACAGGCGTAAGCCACCTCACCTGGCCCCTCCTTTTAATCTTGACTTTCACAAACGCCTGGTGGCAGGCATCATTTCCCCATTCTGCAGGTACCCGAGGCTCAGAGTCAGACAGTGACTCACCCAAGATCTCCCAGCTACACAATGGCAGAGCCTGGGCTTGAGCTAGCATGGTCATGGGCCCGACACACCACAGTCCATGTTAAAACACCTGGGTTTGGAGACTGCTGCTTTTTGTTTGTTTTGTTTTATTTTGTTTGAGACGGAGTCTTGCTCTGTCGCCCACGCTGGAATGCAATGTCCTGATCTCAGCTCACTGCAACCTACCTCTCCCAGGTTCAAGTGATTCTCCTTTATCAGGCTCCTAAGTAGCTGGGATCACAGGCGCACCACCACACCTGGTGAATTTTTGTATTTTTAGTAGAGATGGGGTTTCTCCATGTTGGTCAGGCTGGTCTCGAACTCCTGACCTCAGATGATCTGTGCGCCTGGGCCTCCTGAAGTGCTGACATTAGAGGTATGAGCCACCATGCCTGGCCTTAGACTGCTGCTTTTTAAAGCCAAAATTCTGGCCTGGAAACAGAGCTTGGTTGTCCCAGCCCTAGCCCTGCCGCTATGATACCAGAGGAAGAGACTTCTCTGGGCCTCAGTTTCCTTGCCTGCACAATGTGGCTGGCAAGACTTGGTCTCTCCTCACAGGGTGGCGGTGAGATTGAAAACCCTGTAAAAGTGATCTGACTGGACAGCAGTGGCCATGTGGGAAGGCTGTTGCTATCACGGCATTCTACACATCTGTCCAGACTCAGATTAGCTCCCTAAGGACAGAGTAGGGTGGGGCTTCCATCGCCCGTGGGATATGTGGATATCCATCCTTCTGCATCTTTCCTCCGTGCCCCCTGGGGCAGCTAGGGAAGCCAGCTGGATGGCTCTGGCCCCGTGCTGTCGCGATGAGGTGGAGGCCTGGCTGTGGCTCTGGGAGATCCAGCCTCCCCCAGGGAATCCACTTTACACAATAGCAGTGGCAGCAGAGACTGGAGAGAAAGCTTCGACAGGGGAGCATTGATGACGTTTCCCGAGCCTCAGGTACATGGGGGCCGTGACCCTCCGTGGGACCCTAGGGTGGCTGCTCCTCAGGACTAAGGAAGGAGGTGGGGGGGATGAGAAATCTTTCACCATATACCATAGAAAGCATTGACCATATGGCCTTAGTTTACATATGGGGAAACTCACGCACATATAGGGAAGGGGGCATGTCCAATCTGTCCTTAATAGCAAGATCCACTGAATACACCACTCCTGGCTCTCTGCTTACTGTTCAGATGTTCCAAGATCCCTAGGCTAGGCGGCGGGAGTTTCGGGGCCACGATCCAGATCTTATACCAACTGCGTGTGGCTCTGCACAAAATCACTCCCCGCTCTTTGGCACTTAAGTTTCCTCGCCTGCGAAAGTGGGATGGGCTGGGACCTCAAAGGGCCATTCTAGGTAGGGGAGTCACAGGCCCAGGTGGTTAAGGGGTGAAAGGGCAGGTCTCGGGGTTTATACTCCACTGAGCCTCGCCGGAGGTAACCCCGGCTCAGAGATGCTTTCGTTGCCCTGGCAACCGTCGGGCCGGCGCTGGCCCCTGAGTGCAGCTGAGGAAGCTGGGACAAACTCTGCCCTTCCCAAGATGGCGGCGCCGGCAGGGCAAAGGGCGGGGTTAGACGCTGTCAGCCTGTCCAGACTTTTCCTCTGTTTCCGCTTGTTCCTACTAACAGCGAGCCTCTGCCAATACTTGTTCTTGTTCTTGGTTCCGAAAGTTAGGGAGCGGGTGAGGGAAGGATTGTCTGCAGGGATTGGAGCAAACACCCAGCCGGGGGAAAGGCGGGACTTCCGCGTCTTGCCGGAAGTGATGTGATAGTCGCGGCCACAGCCAGGTGGAACGGCAGGTGGGTTCAGGTACCAGCCTGGCCCGGACCCGGCTGTAGGACTAACGCTTCCGGTGAGCAACAGAGGCAGCTCCCCAGGGACTGGAGACCCTTGGGCCGGGCTCTGGGATCTGAGCCCATCATCCTGGCCTGGAGTCCCCCCTTGTACCTAGTAAGAATCACCTACCCAGCCCCCCCACCCGGAGACTGCCCCATCCCACTCCAGAGGGGAAGAAGAGGGCCCTGCTGTCCCGAATGAGGGTGGCGGAGGAAGGAGTGGTGTTGACATTTAGGCACTTCGGTTCCCTAAATCCTATGCTCCTTTCTCTCCCGGATCCAGTTCCCCAGTCCCCTACCGAGCTGGGCAGTTAGCCAGCCCGTTCCAACTCTCGGAACCATGTTTGCAGACTTGGATTATGACATCGAAGAGGATAAACTGTAAGTATTTTATTCCCCCAAGTTCCAGGAGCATAGGAACCCTAAGTCCCTTATTTCCCTGGACTTTCCAGTCCCACAAACCCTTGCTTCTCAGCAGTGGATCAGGTATTGTACTAAAGTAGCAGTGCACCCTGCTCTTCCAGGAGCTGTTTGTAGGGGGCTGTGGACAGTTAAAGGGATAATCACAGCTCAGTTCCATAAGGGCACTATTAGCATGACTTGGTGACAAGGAGAGAAAGCAGATGGAGCAGTGCTTCTGCGGGGGTGATCAAGGAAACCTTCATGGAGAAGGTGGCAGTTGAGCCAGGTTTTGAAGGTTGAATAGGAATGTTGTAGACATACCTTCCTTCCCAACATAGGTTATTAGTAGATTTTCAAAAATTAGATTTGTCTTCCCATTAGAATGTATCCTGTTTCGGATCAAGGAGTTAGTGCAATGCCTTTCTCTGTGCTCAGCACTTAGTAAGGGGCTTGATGTCAGTAGGTTGGTAGCAAATGTTTTTTGAATGAATAAGCGCATCAGTGCAAGTACTTACCATGAAACACCAGTCAATGCTAGTTCATAGTAGAAACTGAGAGGTAATTTAGGAGGTGAGAGGTGGATAGTTTAACAGGGGAAGACTCCTTGGAGCAGGTGGCCATCATATTCCCCAGATGCCTGATAAGGTGACAAGGACAGAACCTGTCTCAAATCGCAGAGATCGAATGAATGAAAGAGAAGGGGGACCTATTTTTATGGAGTGCCTGCTGTGGATTGGGTTGCTGTTAGTGGCCTCCATGCATGGTTAGAAGAACTTGGATAAGGGTGCTCATCCCCATTTTATAGATGAGGAAATTGAGATGCACAAAGGGTGACTTACCCAAGTTCCATAGCTGGCCAGGTGCAGTAGCTCACACATATAATCCCAGCACGTTGGGAGGGTGAGGCGGATGCATCACCTGAGGTCAGGAGTTCGAGACCATCCTGACCAATGTGGTGAAACCCCATCTTTAAAAATAATAATAATGATAAAACAATACAAAAAATTAGCCAGGAGTGGTGGTGGGCACCTGTAACTGTAATCCTAACTACTTGGGAGGCTGAGGCAGGAGAATTGCTTGAACCGGTAAGTCAGAGGTTGCGGTGAGCCAGGATAGTGCCATTGCACTCCAGCCTGGGCAACAAGACTGAAACTCCGTCTCAAAAGAAAAGAAAAGAAAACTAAGTCCCATAGCTGAAAAATGGCAGATTTGATGGGGTTTGATCCCATATCTGCAGAACTCCAACAACTGTGCCTGTTTCAGCGCAAAGTGCTGTTGTTTTATCCGAGGGAGGGAAAAAGCTGGGCAGCCAATGGAGCCCCTCAGGAGTTTTGGGGGGGCGTACCCCCTCCAGTCATCCTTCCTCCAGGAGAGTCAGCCTTGCTTGCTTTTCTTTCTAGCGGAATCCCGACTGTGCCTGGAAAGGTGACCCTGCAGAAGGATGCTCAGAACCTGATCGGGATCAGCATTGGAGGAGGAGCCCAGTACTGTCCCTGCCTCTATATCGTGCAGGTACTGGGCGCTTTGGAGGGGGGATGGCGCAAGGTACATCCCTACTTGGGCATGACAAAGGCAGGTTCATTTGTCCACGCTGTATAGCTGACTCCTCATTCTTGAGGTCTGACCCTCTCCGAGGGGCTTTCTGAGCATCTGCGCTGCATTGGTTTGGCCCATCTTCTCCTCTGTGTCCCTCTGTTCTTTTCCTTCTCAGCGCTTAGTACTTGTTATTTGTCCTCTGTCTAGGAGAGTAGACCCTTTGCAGAGGACAGTGTCCTGGTTTGCCTTCTCACTGCAGTTAGCACTAGGTACAGTGCCTGACACATAGTGGACCTGCAATAAAAATTGACTATTAAATCTTGGTGACAAGCCAAGTTAAAAAAAGAAAAAAAAATTAGATAAAAAAAGAAATTGACTATTGAATCAACAAAAGCACCAGCCTTGGGTTCTAGCAAATGAAGTGTCATAGGATCTCTATGAAATAATGGCCGGAGGTCAAATGCAAGCTTCTTCCCTACTTACTAGCAAGTCACTTAACCTCTTTGGGCCTCAGTTTCATCACCTGGAAAGTGGGGTTTTAAGACATGTAGACATGAGCGTCTTTGGGTTCTTGTGAAAAGTCAACAAAACGACATAACACACTAGCATTTAAGAAATGTGCGTTGGCTGGGCATGGTGGCTCACGCCTGTGATCCCAGCACTTTGGGAGGCCAAGGCGGGCGGATCATGAGGTCAAGAGTTCAAGACCAGCCTGGCCAACATAGTGAAACCCTGTCTCTACTAAAAATACAAAATCAGCCGGGCATCGTAGCAGATGCCTGTATTCCCAGCTACTCGGGAGGCTGAGGAAGGAGAATTGCTTGAACCCAGAAGGTGGAGGCTGCAGTGAGCTGAGATCATACCACTGCACTCCAGCCTGGCCACAGAGCAAGACTCCATCTCAAAAACAAAACAAAAACAAGAAAAACCCGGAAATGTGCATTGGCCAGGCACAGTGGCTCACACCTGTAATCCCAACAACTTTGGGAGGCCAAGCCGGGTGGTTCACCTGAGATCAGGAGTTTGAGACCAGCCTGGCCAACATGGTGAAACCCTGTCTCTACTAAAAATACAAAAAATTAACTGGGCATGGTGCCGCACACCGGTAGTCCCAGCTGCTAGGGAGGCTGAGGCAAGAGAATCGCTTGAACCTGGAAGGTAAAGGTTGCAGTGAGCCGAGATCATGCCACCGTACTTACTCTAGCCTGGTTAACAGAGTGAGACCCTGTCTCAAAAAAAACACAAAAAAACAAAAGACAAAAACATGCATTAGGCAGTAGCTGCTGTAATTTTCCAGGCAGCTGTACATTTTCCCAGATGCTGTGTCAGTGGTAAGGAACACTCTTGTGTCCCTTGCAGAGGAAGCTGTGCTGGTGATATTCTGTGCACTGTAACTCAGGAGTGGTGACCGGCCTGCTGTGAGGCCTGCTTCACTGTGTGGCTCATCAAAGTCAGTGACCTTGCTGTCGGCTTAGGAAGACTTGTTCTAACCTTCTCAGCTGGTGGCAGATGGGAAACTGGCCTCTGTGAGGATCTTGCTAAGGAGTTGCTTCCAGGCCTCGAAGACAGATTCCCAGATTGGCCTGGTCTTGCTTCTGCTCACATGCTGCCTCCTTCCTGAGCCATTTGGCCTCCGGTGACCCCGGAGGCATCAGCAAGGCCTTCCCCAGGCCTGGCCTCCTGGCCATGTGCCTGCTCAGCCTCTTGCCACCTCCCTCTCCCTACCTCAGGGGCAGGTTTGCTTAGAATGAACACACATTATAAAATAGTAGAGTTGATTTTTTTTTTTTTTTTTTTGAGACAGAGTCTCACTGTGTCACCCAGGCTGGAGTGCAATGGTGTGATCTCAGCTCACTGCAACCTCTGCCTCCTGGATTCAAGCAATTCTCATACCTCAGCCCCTTGAGTAGCTGGTATTACAGGCGTATGCCACCATGCCCAACAAATTTTTGTATTTTTAGGAGAGACAGGTTTAGTTATGTTGGCTAGGCTGGTCTTGAACTCCTGGCCTCAAGCGATTCTGCCGACCTCAGCCTCCCAAAGTGCTGGGATTACAGGTGTGAACCACTGGCCAATAAAATAATAGAACTGACTTTTTAAAATTCAATTTTGTTTTTATCAAAGTGCCATGTAACTTGCTTTTAGCAAGTCAAGAGCATTAAAAGGCCCGTGTCAAATAATAGCAATCCACTGCCCTTCCCCTGTGCACCTCACCAGCTTCACCATTTCTTCATGTGTGAGCTTCCGTTTTTCTCAATAGGATGCTTATCCTGTTGTTCCTATCCTTTCGAGTCAGGGTCTCACTCTGTTGCCCAGGCTGGAGCGCAGTGGTTCAATCATGACTCACTGCAGCCTCAACCTCCTCAGACTCAGGTGATTCCCCCACCTCCAAGCAGCTGGGGATTACAGGCAGGTGCCACCACACCCAGCTAATTTTTTTGTATTTTTTATAGAGATGGGGTTTTGCCCAGGCTTATCTCGAACTCCTGGGTTCAAGCAATCCACCAGCTTTGGCCTCTCAAAGTGCTGAGCTTACAGGCATGAGCCACCTTGCTTGGCTTGTCCTGTTATTTCTTGATCTATCATTTGTAAATATCTATTGCCTTTGCCTCGTCTGGTAGATGAGAATTCAGTTCTTTCCATGACCAGTCTGTTTCCTCTCATCCCACCTTTACAACATAGTTGTTTTTCCATTTTTGGCTAAATTAATATTAGTACAACGGAGGCTAGGCTCTGTTGTGGGCCCTAGGGACAAGAAAGTGAGGAAAACAAAGATTCCACCTCTGCAGAGCTCTCATTCTAGTTGAAACAGCTCAATGTTTAACTTTCTGAGGATTCTGTTTCTTTTCTCTATTCAGCCTTTTCTTCTTTTTTGAGAGGGTGGGGGTAATTTCCTGTTTTATTTTTTCATTGCACTTCTTGTTTTCTTAGTATGTTTTCCACAGTTTCCTATCTTCTTTTTTTTTTTTTTTTTAAATGAAATGAAGTCTTGCTCTGTCACCAGGCTGGAGTGCAGTGGTATTATCTCAGCTCACTCCACAGGAGTCAGGGGAGTAAACCAAGAGAGGGACCCCTGAGATGGGGGAATCCAAAGAAGAGGGGCAGGAGGAGGGCACAGGGGGAGAGACTACAGAGTGGAAAACAGACTGAAGAAGATGCGGCCGGGCGTGTTGGCTCACACTTGTAATCCCAGCACCTTGGGAGGCTGGGGCAGGAAGATCACTTGAAGTCAGGAGTTCGAGACCAGTCTGGCCAACATGGTGAAACCCTGTCTCTACTAAAAATACAAAAATTAGCTGGGTGTCGTGGCGTGTGCCTGTAATCCCAGCTAATTGGGAGGCTGAGGCAGGAGAATCTCTTGAACCTGGAGGGCAGAGGTTGCAGTGAGTTGAGATCAATTTTGAGTTAATTATTATTATTATTATTATTTTGAGACAGAGTCTTGTTCTGTTGCCCAGGCTGGAGTGCAGTGGCGCAATCTTAGCTCACTGCAACTTCCACCTCCCAGGTTCAAGCGATTCTTCTGCCTCAGCCTCCTGAGTAGCTGGGACTACAGGCACCCACCACCATGCCTGGCTAATTTTTGTATTTTTAGTAGAGATGGAGTTTTGCCATGTTGGCCAGGCTAGTCTCGAACTCCTGACCTCAGGTGATCCACCTGCCTTGGCCTCCCAAAGTGCTGGGATTACAGTCATGAGCCACTGCGCCTGGCCTTGAGTTAATTTTTATATATGGTGTTAGGTTAAGTGTCAACTTCATTTTTCACATACAGTTGTTGAAATGACTGTCCTTTCCCATTGAACGTTCTTGACACCATTGTCAAAAATCATTTGACTATCTATGTGAGGCAGGAGGATTGCCAGAGCACAGGAGTTCAGTGTGGCAGTGACCTGTGATCATGCCATGCACTCCAGCCCAGGTGGGAGAGACCCTTTCTCAAAAAACAAGAGCAGAGGGTAGAGTGGAAGGCAGAGCCGGGCAGTGGTTGGGGTGTCTTCTCGGGCTGCATCTCAGTCGTCTGTTTCTCCCCACCGCTGTCCTTCTGCATCCATAGGTATTTGACAATACCCCAGCAGCCTTGGACGGCACAGTGGCAGCTGGGGATGAGATCACTGGCGTCAATGGCAGATCAATCAAAGGGAAAACTAAGGTGGAGGTGGCAAAGATGATTCAGGAGGTGAAGGTAAGGGCTGCTACAGAGGGAGTGTCCAGAGGCGGCCCCACGTGCTTCTAGACCTCCAGGCTGCCAGAGGTCCCAGCAGGCCTGGAAAGCGGAATCAGCCCTCACCGCCCCCTTCCTTGGCACATCAGGGTCAGGGTCACACACCAGCCTCCCTCATCCATCCCTCATCCATTCAGTAAATAGTAATCATGCTCCAGGACTTGTGCTGGACCTCGGCAAGAGAGTGGGCAACAAGACCCCAAGGTCCCTGCGAGCTCCCGGGGAGCTGACAGACTAGGAACCATGCCTCAGGGCTAGCCCATGTGTCCCCAGTCAGCGCTGGAGCCGAAGCTAAAAGTTCCAGGTGATCCTGCTTAGGCCAGTAGACACCCAATAATGTCAGCTGGGCCACACTGGGCCTGGGAGGGCTAAGAGGGAAAGAAGAGCGCCCTTGCCCCTCCTGGAGGAACTTCTCATCCCGTGCGTCCTCCTGGGCTCACAGACACCCAGAGCCCCCCTCCCATGCCAGCTGATCTGCTCTGCAGACCAGAGTCACACGCTGCCTGCCTCGGCTTTTCCCCACTCCTGCTGCTCCAGGCCCCGGCCTCTCTGCAGGGACTCTCCCTCCTGGAATGCAGACAGTATCCTGGCCTCTCTGGAAGCAAGCATGCAGCCCCTTTGCCATTTCCTAGCAATGAGGCTGCTAGCAAGTCTCAGGAAACCAGTTCTATGAAAGAACTGATGTGGAGGCAGTGCCCAGCTGTGAGGTGGTTTAAAAGTCTCGGGGGCAAGGGTCCCCACTGTGAGTTGAGCTTGGCCAAGTGTTGCAGCTTTCTCCCTCTGCTCCACTTCTGTCCTCCGGGTTCTAGCACCCCTGACAGCCCCCTTCCTGCCTTAACCCAGGCCAGCCACGGCTCCGTCCTCTCCCTTTATCCTCCCGCCCTACTCCTGCGTCATCCCCGCTACTCTCCTTCCTTGCTGTAGGGAGGAAGATTCCAATCCTGCACGTTCTCCTATTCCAGCCCCTTTAGACATTGGACAAATCGGCCTGGGGCTGGGGCTCAGAGCTCTGCTGTACAAAAGGAAGCGACAAGGTTCACTGAGACTGCAGCTGCCACTGCACATGGTCTGGGTATCACTGCCCCCAGCATGACCTGTTAGGCAGAGGAGCTGGTCATGGGAACAGGTGCAGGGGGTCTCCGTCTGGCAGAGTTGTGTGTGGGCAGGGATTCCTCTCCCATCTTTTTTTAAATGTTTTTTGAGATGGAGTTTTGCTCTTGTTGACCAGGCTGGAGTGCAATGGCGTGATCTCGGCTCACTGCAACCTCTGCCTCCCAGGCTCAAGTGGTTCTCCTGCCTCAGCCTCCCGAGTAGCTGGGACTATAGGCACCTGCCACCACGTGTGGCTAACTTTTTTGTATTTTTAGTAAAGACGGGGTTTCTCCATTTTGGTCAGGCTGGTGTCAAACTCCTGACCTCAGGTGATCTGCCCGCCTCGGCCTCCCAAAGTGCTGCGATTACAGGCATGAGCCACTGCACCAAGCCTACTCTCGCATCCTACAGGTGTCCAGAGTGGGAGAGTGATCTGCTTGTGGTCACACAGCTGAACTGGAGCCCGGGTCCGACTCTCACTGCAGCCCGCTTGCTGTTAGCCTACAGCTACTCTGTGTGGGATGGCCCCTGAGCCCGGCTGTGTTGCATTTTGGGGGAGCGAGTCACACCCCATCTCTGACTCTGATTGCATTTTGGTTTCCCTTTGGGACTTGATTTTTAAATCCTGTTTTATATTTGGATGAATGTGGTCCCAAGTTCAAGGGCTTTTGGTTTGCAAGAATGGGAGTGAAAACAGTGGCCTCCTGTGCTCAGGGAAGTCCTCTTTGGAGAAGCCTGTGTCTCCTGAGCAGTCACTAGAATGCAGTTTGCATAATTCCCTGGATCAAATTGGCCTTGGGGGTCTGGGGCTGCCCCTGCCCCTTCCCCTTGGCGCCCTAGCACCAGAGCAAGCTGAGATGTATCTGTTGAATGAGTAGAGGATTCTTGGCGATGGGGGTGTTTGGGCAGAGGAGGGAATAACTGGTGTAGGGAAATGACACGGCAAAGGCGTGGAGTGTGGTGTGCGTGGGGAGGGAAGGAGAGTCTGACCTGGCTGAAACACAGGACATCAGAGACCACCAGGCTGTGGGCTCCATGTTGGCCCTGTCTCCACGGATTCCCCAGGGCTTGGACGTAGAGTGGGAAAGGAGGGACCTGGGGACAGACATGGTCATAAAGTGGGGCCATGTCACAGCTGTCAGCCTGGTTCCTTACTGGGGCTTAGGATTCTTTTTTTTTTGAAACAGAATCTTGCCCTGTCACCCAGGCTGGAGTCCAGTGGCGCAATCTCAGGCCACTGCAATCTCCGCCTCCTCCGTTCAAGTGATTCTCATGCCTCAGCCTCCTGAGTAGCTGGGATTACAGGCATGTGCAACTATGCCCGGCTAATTTTTGTATTTTTAGTAAGAGGCTTGCTGGACTCTGGAGCTGAGAGACCTGGGAGCTGAGAGCTGCACTCACCAGGGGGCTGCTGTGTTGCCCAAGCTGGTCTTGAACTCCTGATCTCAAGTGATCTGCCCGCCTCAGCCTCCCAAAGTGTTGGGATTACAGGCGTGAGCCACTGCGCCTGGCCTTGGCCTTAGGATTCTTAGTTCAGAACAGTGCTGCCGGGGAGGGGGCTCAGGCCTGGAGCCCCTCACAAGTCTGTGTGCTGCTCTTGCAGGGGGAGGTGACCATCCACTACAACAAGCTGCAGGCGGACCCCAAGCAGGGCATGTCCCTGGACATTGGTAAGCTGGCCCGAGCAGTGACAGGTGTCCAGCAGCCCCCCTGGACAGGCCCCCACCTGAAGGAGAAGTGCCACAGCCAGCCATGGCCTCCCCCTTACACAGCAGCATCCATGGCTGTGGGCTCTGACTTCTGAGCAAGCAAATCCGAAAGGCCTGGGAGGACCCAAAGTGCTGTCCCTGCATCTGTCCCTGGTTTCTCACTGTCCTGTGTTTCACCCCCACCTCCCCGCTTCGGCCATCTCTCCTGGGACCTTGCTGCCCTAGGGTTGTCCTTTGCAGGCCAGCGCCTCAGCTCACCATGGCCCAGGGCCTTGCCCTTTATCATAAAGGGAGAGCAGCCCAACCCTGGCCTGGCGCCTCATGCCCTCCAGCACAGCCTCGCCCCTTCCTGCCCCTCCTGCCGTCACCTCCCAGGGAGACTGGATCTGAACTGGACCTCAGGCTATGGGCAGAGGGTCCACGCCTTGGGATAAGTTCCCTCCTGTTAGAAGGGCTGAGCCGTGGTTCTGTAGAAACTTTAAGACTTAAGAGCTGGAGAGCACCTTCGAGTCCTCTGGACCGGCTGCCTCACATGATGGATCCAAGCCTGAGACCCAGAGAGGGTGCTGCAGCCCCCTGCTGAGCGCACACCCAGGTCTCGGCTCCAGAGTCCAGCAAGCCTCTCCCACACCCTAGAGCCAGAGGCCAAGGGACTCAGGGCAGACTGGACCTGTCCCGGAGCTTCCTCTAAAACCCTTTGGTTCCAACACAGGTCCCTTCCCAGGACTGAGCTGCTCATATGCAGTAATTGAGTCTGGGGTCCAAGGTTCATGGTCATTGATAGGCCCATTGCTTTCACATAATCAGCCCAGCGGCCCCCCTTCTCCTCTCCCCCTTGTATGGGACACCCCAGGTCCTGATGTGGCACAGAGGAGGGGAAGAGGCTTTCTTGGCTTCCATCAGCCCGAACTGAGCCGGGGCAGCACTGGGCTCTCAGTGACACCAGCTGATGTCACGCAGCAGGCCCTGGGCAAAGCACTTCATGCTGAACTCGGCCCAGACTGCCAGCAGCTCTGTGAAGCAGAGGGAACAGGGACACTCCCCATTTCAGAGCCATCCTCAGCAGCCCTTTTGCCCCCTTGGGGTGCTCCCTGTGAATGGAGGTAAGGCTGGAGGCAGGGATGGCCTCTGGGCAGCCACACACTCACCAGGTCCTTCATTCCCCATTCAGTGTTGAAGAAAGTCAAGCACCGGCTGGTGGAGAACATGAGTTCAGGGACCGCAGATGCTCTGGGCCTGAGCCGGGCCATCCTGTGCAATGGTGAGTCCCTTCCCACCCAGCTTGGGCCCCAGGGACTCAAGCCCATGCTGGGAAGATGGGAGGGGCACCGTGGCCGCCTTACCAAGCTGCTGTGGGTCCCACGGGCATGACCCAGCCTCTGCCCTTGGAGCTGAGAAGTCACCATCTCTGCATCCCCAGAGGCTTCTCCAGCTCCTGGAGTGTCCACAGCTGTCAGCTGGGCTGTCCTAGCCAGCATCCCTCAAGTCACAGATGGGGAAACAGACTCCGTGTGGGGAGGTGCCTCAACCACTGCCCTCAGCCCCCCTACCCCTCACCCCAGCACTCTTGCTGCCCACCTCGTGCCTCCTTTGTCCAGGAGGTGGCGCTGCTGCCCTTGTCCTCCCGGGCTGGGAGGTGGCTGCCCAGGCGACGGGGGAGGCGTGTACACGCACACTTACACATGCATGCACACATGCGCGCACACCTTCCCTCCCCGGGGTGGCCAACGAAACACTCAGTCCCACTCCTACCGTCGCCAGTCCAAGATTAAAAATAGCAGCAGCTCTGCAGCGTGCGCGTGGGGTAGATATAAATACCTGTAGGAATTGTGGGCTTAGCTGGGCGCACCGGGCTTTATTGGCTGGGAAAGTGGGGGTGGGGTCTGAGCGCGTTCCAAATGGTGTACAAAAGTGGCGGCTGCTATTTCCAGCCTCCTGGTGCCTATAAACCCCTGTTACTGTAGTTACCAGCCGTTGAGATGAAATTAGAACTGGTTGTTGTGTTTTTCCCCCCAAACCTTGCAATTTTCCTGGCCTGAAATAGCGTTTCTAAAACTGAAGCTGTCATGATGTCCCATGACCCAGCTAAAAACAACAGCATGGTGCTTACATGGCTCCTTTCCTGCCGGCTGGCAGGGCACTAAGGCTCTGGGGCACCCAGGCCTGGAGGCCACTGGGGGCCAAAGCCTCCCCAAGACCTCCAGAGTGCCCCTTCCTCCCCTGACAGCCTGTCCCACAGCCACCTCCCTGCCCGGAGAGGCCTGAACACAGCCTGCGCTCCTCCCCTCTTCTGCTCAAAAACCCTGACCCGGATCAGCACAGGAGGCTGTGAGCAGAGAGCACCCAGCTGCCACAGGTGGCTGTGTGACTTGGGCAGGCCACCTTGCCTCCCTGTGCCTTGGTTTTCTCTGTGAATGGAGAGAGTTGTCCCTGTCCCATGGCTGACAGGAGGGACCAAGACGTGTGTAGGGAGCCCTCGGCAGGCCCAGCTCATAGCACGGGGACTCAGTCAGTGGCTGCCGGCGCTGTTCAAGGCCCGGCCCTGCTGTCCTGGGGCATGGCTGGGCCAGGAGGCCACCAACACAGGGCCCCTACTCTCTGGTGGCTCCTGGTGGGGAGGTGTGCATCTGCCTCATCCTCCTGGGGTGGATGTCCCATATGGGGTCAGCAGGAGCACTAAATGTCATAGCGCCTCTGCCCTGGCCCTTAGCTTAGCTCCTTAGCTTTCTGCCCACCCTTCCATCTGGAATGCCTGCCCGTCCCTGACAATCTGCTTCCTCCTCAAGGTGAGGCTGCTGCCCCACCTCTCCCCTGCAGCCCTGACTGTCACACTGCTGCTCATTGCCCGGCTACTGGCCTGGCTCCCCTGCCGGACTTTGAGCCTTGAGAGCAAGACTTGGCTCAAAGTGAGCTTGACCTGGTGGCTGGCACATAGTAGGTGCTCAAGAAACACCAGTTAAGCCAGTGGATATGGTCACCAAGGCCTCTTCTCAGTGTGAGCTGTCTCAGCCTTCCTGAGTTTCCCCCTCCCTCCCCAAGTTGCATTTCCCCTTCTGAACCATCTGTGTGCTTGGGAGGCAGGGGCCACGTCCTGCCTGTACTAGAGGCCTGGCTGCTCCATCTCCATTCCAATGGCCCCTGCTGGCCTTCCTCCCCAGCTGCCAGCAGGCTTTGTGGTAGAAGTGCGGGAGCTTTGCCTGCTAGGCAAGAACCCTCCACTGGCCATGAGGAAGGCCTAGCCATTTACAAAACACCTTTGAACCCAGCTGACCTGAGATGCCAAATCCCCTCCCCTCCCCAGCCTGGCCCTGGGCCTCCTGTGGCTTGCGAGCCTGCTGACCTCCCCTCTTCTCTGGGTCCCCACAGATGGGCTTGTCAAGAGGCTAGAGGAGCTGGAGCGGACCGCCGAGCTGTACAAAGGTGGGTGGGGGCAGCCTCGTCCCAGCACTGGCTCTACCCCAGAGAGCATGCTTTTAGCAGAATGGCAGTGGGGGTGCTGGCACCCTAGGATTCTAGGACCATGGGCATTAAGAGTTCTTAAGAATACATACTTCTTCTGAATTTAAAAATAACCCAGGGGCCAGGTGTGGTGGCTCACACCTGCAACCCCAGCACTTTGGGGAGGCTGAGGCAGGTTGATCACTTGAGGTCAGGCATTCGAGACCAGCCTGGTCAACATGGTGAAACCCCATCTCTACTGAAAATACAAAAATTAGCCAAGGATGGTGGCGGGTGCCTGTAATCAGTACTCAGGAGGCTGAGGCACGAGAATCACCTGAACCAGAGAGGCAGAGGTTGCAGTGAGCTGAGATCACACCACTGCACCCCAGCCTGGGCAATAGAGCAAGACTTCATCTCAAAAAAACCCTCACACCCATAAAAATTCAGAGAATAGCACCTGTAAACATAGTGAGAGTCCCCCAGAATCCCATGCTTTCCCAGGGCTAAAGCCCACAGCAGGCTGTATGCACCTGCATCTTACAAAGTCCTGGCGCCCCTGTCTGGAGAGGCTCCTCATGGGTGGAGCTGGACTGAGCCTTTACCTCTGGGCCCTAGTTAGGCGGTGGACAAAGGCAGGGCACCAGGGCCAAGCAGAGGCCTCGGGTGGGGTGGGCACTTGGAGGCCTTGGGTGGCGTGGGCACTTGGAGGCCTTGGGTGGCGTGGGCACTTGGAGGCCTTGGGTGGCGTGGGCACTTGGAGGTCTTGCCTTGGGCCAGTGCAGTCCCTGCTGTGTGTCCCTATTCTGCCTCACTCGGTCTCTCCCATAGGGATGACGGAACACACCAAGAACCTCCTACGGGCCTTTTATGAGCTGTCACAGACTCACCGGGGTAATGGCATCCCCCAAACCTGCAGCATGACCCTGGGTGATCCCTGGGGCCTCTGACACGCATGCTGAGGTGGGTCAGACCCACAGCACCTGACCTCAGGCCAGCTTTGGGCTGGTCCTGGTCCCTGGCGCTGGGATGTAGTGATGGGGGCCTGTGGGGGCATCTGGACCAGCTGGCCTCCTAAGGGCCGCAGCCATGGACCAGGCACCACCCTGTCTCCTCACTGCCAGTGGCAGTGCACAGGCCCTTACTTATTTATATTTCTGACAATCCTGTAGCTCTGGGCAGGCCAGCTGCAGCTGACCCCAGTTACTGCGGAAAATGAAGCTTAGACAGAGGAAAGGGCCACACCACTCCCAAGGGGTGGAGCTGGTGTTAGAACCCAGGTATCTCCACTCTGACCAGTGCTCTGCCCCAGGCAGAGCCACTGCCTCAAGTCCTGACCCAGCTTCTCTCACTCGTCCCTCGGGGGAATGAGGGTCAACTCCCTTGGTGTGTGCACGCAGGACTTTAGGGGCATAGACCAGCTGTTGGAGGTGTCAATCCAGTTTCCTCTGGGTGTAGACTCAGCTCCTTCAGGGAGTTTAGACCAGCTCTCTTGAAGGTGTAGATCCTGTGCAGACATTGGCCTCCAGCCTGCCAGGCCCCCTGCCCTGCTACTCCCCCAAAACCCCTGGTTCTCCATTAGGTCAGGTAGGGGCAGCCTTCAAGGGAAACTTGTCATGCAGCCTTTGGGGATGTGTTCTCCGTGATCGGGGTGCGGGAGCCCCAGCCGGCTGCAAGCGAGGCTTTCGTGAAGTTTGCTGATGCCCACCGCAGCATCGAGAAGTTCGGCATTCGGCTTCTGAAAACCATCAAGCCGGTAGGTCCTGCTGAGCACGTGTGTGTTTGGCGTGTGAGGGTAGGGAGGGGACAGTGTGGCAGACAGAGGGACCTGTGCTGGAGTCCAAACGCCTGGATGCAGCCTCTGGCACAGTCACCCACACAGTGGACTGTGGGTGAGTCCCTGTGCCTCCTTGGGCCTTGACATTGACCTCTGGGCTGGCTTCTGACCCTGGCTCGCCACTGAGTCACAGCTTTCCCTGGGCCTGGCACTAGTCTTCTCATCCTTGGGAGGGAGAAGGCATCAGGGGGCACCGTCTGGCTCTGACAGTCGAGTCCACCTGAAGGGGTGACACATCACTGATGTTTATTGTCACCCTGGCACCTACCACCATGAGGGCCTCAGCATCCACCCACTCTCTCAGATGCTGACAGACCTGAACACGTACCTCAACAAGGCCATCCCGGACACTCGCCTCACCATCAAGAAGTACCTGGACGTGAAGTTTGAGTACCTGGTGAGTAGTCCAGGCGCCCGGGCCGCTGGAGTGAGCGCCCCCCCAGAGAGCTGCCCCTTTTCCATCAGCCACGTCTTGGCAAGCAAGGCTGGCCAGAACCTACGGCATGTCTGCTCGCGGTGTGGGACCAGGGGCCTGGGGAGGTGCAGCCGAAGCCCTGCTGCCACCACGCAGAGAAGCGTCAGAGAGCCTGGGTGGGCACGGCTCTGGCTCTGTGCATGCTGACACCTTGGGATTTGTTTATTGCCTTTAAACAATGAGTTACACTAGGTGCGTGAGCATAAAGTGGGTGCCAGTGAACCTTTGTGAGTTTTATATTTAATAATTCTGTGGTCAGCTGGACAGGGTGGCTCACACCTGTAATCTTAGAACTTTGGGAGGCTGAGGTGGGTGGATCACCTGAGGTCAGGAGTTCAAGTCCAGCCTGACTAACATGGTGAAAGCCCATCTCTACTAAAAATACAAAAATCAGCCGGTTGTGGTGGTGTGCACCTGTAGTCCTAGCTACTCCAGAGGCTGAGGCAGGAGAATCGTTTGAACCCAGGAGGCAGAGGTTGCAGTGAGCCGAGATCGAGACCCTGCACTCCAGCCTGGGTAGACAGAGCAAGACTCCATCTCAAAAAAAAAAAAGTAATAATAATAATGGTATGGTCAAAGGAATAGGAATCGAGAGAAAATCCTCCGTTAAGCAAGCCAAGGTTCCTTTGCCGCAGGACTTATCGGAGCCTTTGATAGGCCCATGTGCAGTGTGAATTTTCAGGGGTCTTCCTAACCTTCTTTGACCACAGATCCCTTTTTTTCCCATAGCATCTCTTGGGCCTTGAGTTTGGTAAACTCTGGGCTACCGAAGCCTCAGGCCCTGGCCATCCCCCGCCTCACGCCTCAGTTGCCTGCCGCTGCCCTCTCTGGGCCTCCCTGAGCACCTTTGCCAGCCTGCCTGGATGCGTGTGGATGATGGGGGTGGGGCTGGGGATGTGGGGTGGGGGTAGCCACTCTGACACCTCACCTGTCCCACACAGTCGTACTGCCTGAAGGTGAAGGAGATGGACGACGAGGAATACAGCTGCATCGTGAGTGCTGGAGGGAGGGCGCCCACCTTCCCCCACTTGGTCTGCCAGGGATAGCAGGTGGCTCGGGCCAACCTGGGAGAAACCCAAACCTTTGCCACTTGGCTGGACTCTTGTTCCTGGCGATTTGGGGCCATCCTCTCCAGTCCGTCTGAGCCTCAGGGTGCTGGCCACCAGGCGTGGAACTACTGCCTCTGCCTGTCCCAGGACACTGCCCCCCAGAGTCTGTGAGGCTCTTGGAGCGAAAAACGGATTTCCTTCACTCCTACGAGGCACTTTTAAGTTTTCGATTTTTTTTTTTTTTTTTTTTTTTTGAGATGAGGTCTCGCTCCATCGCCCAGGCTGGAGTGCAGTGGGGCCATCTCGGCTCCATCTCAGCTCACTGCAACCTCTGCCTCTGGGTTCAAGCGATTCTCCTGCCTCAACCTTCTGAGTAGCCGAGTTACAGGTGCGCGCCACCACACTTGGCTAATTTTTGTATTTTTAGTAGAGACAGGTTGGTCAGGCTGGTCTCAAACTCCTGACCTCATGATCCGTCTGTCTCAGCCTCCCAAAGTGCTGGGATTACAGGCGTGAGCCACTGCACCTGGCAGTTTTTGATGTTTTTGCTGTCGAGATCCATCTTGTGGCCAATGTTTATTTAATGTGGCAAAGGTTTGGGTTTTGTTGCTTTTTCCTCCCTCCAAAGGTATCTCTGAGCACTTCTAAGGAACACTGAAATCTCAGAAGTGAGGTCTCAGGAACCACTGTGGCTTTGAAAGGGTGGTTCGGTTCTGGTGTGAGGCTGTCCCTGAGCAGGCCCTCCTGTCCCACCCCCACCCCAGGCCCTAGGCGAGCCCCTTTACCGGGTGAGCACTGGCAACTACGAGTACCGTCTGATCCTGCGCTGCCGCCAGGAGGCTCGCGCCCGCTTCTCCCAGATGCGCAAGGACGTGCTGGAGAAGATGGAGCTGCTGGACCAGAAGCACGGTGAGCACCGCCCTTCTCCACTCATCCTCTCTCCATTTCGGAGGTACGAAAACTGAGGCCCAAGGGGCAAGGTACTCACCTGAGGCCTCAGGGCCAGACCACCGCCCAGATGTAAAGCCCCTGCAGGAGCCCAGCCACGTGCCCGGAGTCCGGCCTGGGTGGGGCTGGCCTGTGCCATGTGGGCTCCGCAGGCTGCGGTCCATGATCCATTTACCCTGCAGCCTCCTGTGTTCCCTGAACTGGGAGCTAGGAGGCCTGGGTTCTTCCAAGCTGGGCGGCCCCTGCTTCCGCCCCTTGCCAGGGCATGAGGGGTCAGGGAAGTACCAGAATGGGAAGCACAGGGCTGGCGAGAGGTGGGCCGTGCAGGCTGGGAGAGTGTCCGTCCTGAGGCGGGCAGCCAGAGCCGACTGGTGCCTGCGCCCCAACCTCCCACCCCAGTCCAGGACATCGTGTTCCAGCTGCAGCGCCTCGTGTCCACCATGTCCAAGTACTACAACGACTGCTACACGGTGCTTCGGGGTGCTGACGTCTTCCCCATCGAGGTGGACCTGGCGCACACCACACTGGCCTACGGCCTCAACCAGGAGGAGTTCACCGACGGGGAGGAGGAGGAGGAGGAGGAGGACACGGCTGCTGGGGAGCCGTCCAGGGATACACGCGGGGCTGCTGGGCCCTTGGACAAGGGTGGAAGCTGGTGTGACTCCTGAGTGCCCCGAGGATGGATGTGGTGCCGGGGGCAGGGTGTGTGGGAGGACGGAGCCTGGGAACGAGGCAGGGCTGCTGCTCAAGGGGGCGTCGCATAAAGGCCTGCTGGCTTGGGGCGCCTGCCTCCCTTTTCCTCTGTCCTCACACAGCGAACCTGGGCTCCTGCCCAGGGCAGGCACCAGGGTCACGGCCTCAGACCTGGACACTGGCCCCCCACCCTCCCTTCCCTCCCCAGCCAGAGGGAGAGCTTGGTCTCTGGACCTGCCTTAGGAAGGAGAGGGAGGGCAGGAAGGAAAAGGGCTTGGAGGTGGCAGGAGTCTGGGCCCTGCCCCTTGTGGGCACCCGCACCGCCCCCAGAGCCTGCCGGGAGTGAGGCCGGGGGTGGACAGCAGGGGCTGGGGCCGATGTCGCCTGGACACCCTCGCCTCGCCCCAGATCGGCCCGTCCCCATCACACCTCCGCGGCCTTTATTTATTCTGTTCCCCCAGCTCGGCCACTTCTCTGGAGGAGGGCTGGGCTCTGGGCCTGTATTGAATAAACACAAACCTGGATGGTGCTTCAGACCCTCCTCATCTACCCCCCGCCCACAAGTCTATTGACGGTGCCCTTGCTATGCGTCATTTGTGCCTCACCAAAGTGCTGCATGGCTAGCAATGGTCCCCGTACAGCTGGGGATTTGAGGCACAGAGAAACATCTTGCCCAAGGCCACACTGTGTGTCGGGACCTGGACACAGTGGGACTTAACTCAGATGTGTCCTGAAAGCCCGACTTTGCCACCTGCCTCCAAAACTTTCTGCTTTGTGGAGCCTTTTGTATCTGCCCCCCGCTCCCCCACCAATCTGTGACCTTTCTGTGCTTCTGACAGGAAATAAACCTTTCTTTGGGGAAGGGGAGGGCAGACACTAAGTCAGGGTGACTGAGCCCCCAAGTGTGGGAGGCAGTAAGGGGCAGGTGCTGACTGCCGGTGTGCCCGTGTTCCCAAGGGGCCGTGGGAGAGGCGCTTGGGGAGTGTGCAGAGCAGCAGAAACAGGGCAGCCGCTTCTGCTGCTCCTGGCCAGCCCCAGGCCTGGTGTGATCAGTCATAGTGGCCCTTGTCACTCTAACGTGTCCCTGTTTGGACGATGAATATGGCCACCCTGAGAATGGGAGGGGGGCAAGAGGGTGTGCCAGGCAGGCTGGGTCCAGGATGGAAGAAGAGTTCTGCATCAGCTTTGAGCATGCAGTGCTGGGCAGAAACCCGAATGGGAGGCTCAGCAGGGGTGGTGCATGGAGGAAGGGCCGGCTGTCACCAGGAGCCCACCTGGGTCCCCTCCCAGAAGGGGACAGCCAGAGTGGAGGTTGAGGGCACAGGCTGGAACTGACAGCCTGGGTTAGTTCCTGACCTCCCTGGGCCTCAGTTTCCCTATCTGAAGTATGATACCTACCTCAATGGCTTGTTAGGATGATTAAATGAACATCTGGAGAGGGCTTAGAACAGGGCTTGGCACAGAGCAAGCGCTCTTAAGTGTTGGCTAAATAAAGTCAAACACAGTTGCTGCTCTAGTGACGCAGAGGAAGCCCCAGGCAGTATAAGCAGAAGCCAGCCAGGCATCTGCGGGGCTCCCCAGACCTTCCTGGGGCCTGAATGGAAAATGAGGGCCTGTAGGGACCAGTGGGGAAGGGTCATCGTGGGCTGGGCTGGAAGGTGAGGGGAGTTTACAGAGGGAAGGCAGATTCCTCTGCAGGGGCCTGTTCACACTCATGATTTGAAGGGAGGCAAAGAAAGGGGGTGTGGTGACTCACACTTGTAATTCCAGCACTTTGGGAGGCCAAGGTGGGCAGATCACGAGGTCAGGAGTTTGAGACCAGCCTGGCCTATATAGTGAAACCCCATCTCTATCAAAAATACAAAAATTAGCCAGGCGTGGTGATGGGCACCTGTAATCCCAGCTACTTGGGAGGCTGAGGCAGGAGAATCGCTTGAACCTGGGAGGCAGAGGTTGCAATGAGCTGAGATTGCACCACTGCACTCCTGCCTGGGCAACAGAGTGAGATTCTGCACCCCCCCCCCAAAAAAAAGGGAGTGTGATGTATGGGAGGAGGATAAATACGTAGAGGGAACAGATCTCGGCTTGCCAGATTTGTGCACCTGGACCCAAGTGCAGGTCAGATGTCAAAGCACGAGGGAGATCCTGGGACACTCCGTGGGGAGAAGGCAGGTGCTGGAGTCAGCAGATGACCAGGCTGCCAGCACAGTGTCTAGAGCAAAAGCCCCTTGCCCTGGATACCCAGGTTTATTCTCTAGGGGAACAGATGCCTTCTGGGAAGGTGAGGGATGGCCACCTCGTGGAAGACAACAGGGCCCATGCCATTACTGAGCGCCTGGCCCCACCGTCCCCAGGACCCACGGGGGTGGAGTCGTGTGCTCAGCCTCCAGTGAGCAGAGAAGGCAGCCAGACTGGGATTCAAACCGACCCTGATCCTTAGACTGCTCGCCACCCCCCACCGCCTGCAAGCAGCCCCCAACCTTGAGCCCGTTGCTCCCAACCCCTCATCCCTTCCATGGGGAACAGCAGATGCCGGCAAGGGAGGCTTCGGCAGACAGCTTTGAGAAGTGGGGCTGGGCTCAGTGTCCCTGAGCCCTGTGCCCACCCAGCCCCGTGCCCATCCAGCTGTCTGTAGAGACACCTGGGAATGATGGGTCTCTCTTCATCCATCTCTGACGCTTCCTCCCAACGCTGCCCGCCTAGAAACCAGCTTAGGGGCCCTGGAGAGAGAACCTCCCAGACTCCCTCCCACCTCCCTGTCCCCCAACTCAGGTGGCAGCCAGATCCTGGGCAGAGGCGCAGGAACAGAACCTTCTGTTGTTCAGCTGAGCTTTATCAACAATGTCCTTTTGCTCCATAGCGGCTTCACAGGTGATGGGTTGGGGCCTGGCGGGGCTTGTGGAACAGATGAGGGAGGCAGTTCCCGGACACCCAGGGGATCAATTGGAGCCCAGACGTGGACCCCAGGAGTGACCACCCCAGGCCAGCCTCCCAGCATACCAGGCCCTCTGAGGCAGGAGGCCACGTTCCCAAGTCACTGGACCACACCACCCAGTGCACCCTGAATTACACAGACTCGGCTGCCAGGCTTGGCCCTGCCTCCACCTCTGCTTCCGTAGGCCCGCCCCGAGGGCTCAGCTCCTCCAGGGCCTCCAGGTTGCTGGGTTCCTCCTCGACGGCAGGCAGGGGCTCAGAGTCCCCTTCGGCCTCAGCGTCCTCAGTGTCACTGGCTCCGCCCTCAGTGCCTGGGCCTGACGGGGCAGCTTTAGCACAACGCAGGCAGCAGTTGGTGGCGACAGCCATGAAGACCCCGGCCAGGGCCACCTCAGAGCCGGCCAGGTAGAAGATGACCTCGTAGTTCTTCAATGCATCCACCAGGCGGCCTGGGGAGGGGGACGGGAGGCAGAGGTAAGAATCTGTGGGGTCCCCCCCTCACTTCCCTGCATTCTCAGGTCAAGGGTGGTGCCACTGACTTGGTGAGGCTCATGGTGACACACACATGCCCACTCTTTATTCCTGTTTTATAGGTGTAAAACCCCTGTGGATTTTGCCATTTGAAACCTGAAAAATGTCACTTGCTCTTCCTGTACCTCAATTGCCTAAGTGATATGGGGCTTTTGGTGAGGCGTCCCCTCCACCCTCTGATTCGCCGGACGTGGTGGCACGCACCTGTAGTCCCAGCCACTATGGTGGCTGGGGCAGAAGAATCACTTGCACCAGGGAGGTGGAGGTTGCAGTGAGCCAAGATCGTGCCACTGCACTCCAGCCTGGGCAACAGAGCGAGACTCAGTCTCAAAAAAAAAAAAAAAAAAAATGAGGAGGTGTGACATGCCAGCAGAGGAGGATAAATGCATAGAGGAAATAGATTTCATGTCTATTTTTTTTTGAGACAGGCGCCATCTTGGCTCACTACAACCTCCACTTCCCAGGCTCAAGTGATTCTTCTGCCTCAGCCTCCTGAGTAGCTGGGACTACAGGTGCATGCCACCACACCTGGCTAATCAGAGGGTTGAGGGGATGCCTCACCAAAATAGTGGCCTGTGACTTGCTTGGCAGTGGGGCATCTGGGGTGGGAGCAGGGAGGGGGCCCTGGGCTTAGCTCTGCCCTCCTGGGGGCCTCCGCCTCTTGCTGTTTCCATGTAAACGCCCTGGTCCTCAGGGACTTGGCTTAGTCCTCCTACCTCTCTGTCCCAGGAGGCCCATGAGCACCTCAGACCAAGCTCTCATCGGCACAGGCAGGGCTTGCGGGCCGGTGACTCGTTACCTTTTCTATTTCTCAAGGCTTCTATCACTTGCACACACTACTTTCATACTCAGGAAAGTCTCTCTCTCTTTTACTGTTTTTTAGAGATGGGGTTTTGCTATGTTGCCCAGGCCAGTCTTTAACTCCTGAGCTCAAGGGATCCTCCTGACTTGGCCTCTCAAAGTGCTGAGATTATGGGTGTAAGCCACTGCACCTGGCCTCAGGAATTTTTTATTCTTTTTTTTTTTTTTGAGACAGAGTCTCACTCTGTCCCCAGGCTCAAGTACAGCGGCATGATCCTGGCTCACTGCAACCTCCACCTCAGGGGTTCAAGCAATTCTGCCTCAGCCTCCCAAGTAGCTGGGACTACAGGCACAGGCCACCATGCCTGGCTAATTTTTTGTATTTTAGTACAAAACGGGGTTTCACCATGTTGCCTAGGCTGGTTGTGAACTCAGGCAGTCCTCCCACCTCGGCCTCCCAAAGTGCTGGGATTACAGGTGTGAGCCACCGCACCCGGCCCTGGAATTTTTTATTCTTTTGAGACAGGGTTTTGCTCCATTGCCCAGGCTAGAGTATAGTGGTACATTCTTGGCTCACTGCAACCTCCACCTCCTGGGCTCAGGCCATCCTCCCACTTCAGCCTCCTGAGTAGCTGGAACCACAGGTGCATACCATCATGCCCAGCTAATTTTTGTTTTGCTTTGTTTGGTAGAGACAGGAGTTTGCCATGATGCCCTGTCAAGTCTCAAACTCCTGGCCTCAAGTGGTCCTCCTGCCTTAGCCTCCCAAAGTGTTGGGATTACAAGCATGAGCCACTAGGAAAATCTGTTAATTGCAGATATTTTCCCCATTCCACCCCGATTCACACAAGTAATGGAAGACAGTTTCTTGAGTCCTGGGCAGCTGGTTTTGTGGGCTGCCCACACACTGACTCAGGGACTTTGCCCTTCTCACTGGACAGAGCTTGGGGAGGGCGCTCGGCTAGCCCAGCCCTGGAGAAAGGACAGGCAGCTCATCCCATCTCAGTGCAGCCTGCGACCCCACTTCACTGTCCCATCCCACGGCCCTCTGGCCTCTGGGACTCAAGGGCAGGCTTCCTGCTGTTTCCAGATAACCTGACAACCCAGGAAGACCCTCATGTCCCCCACTCACACCTTTCCAACTTTGGTTCCTGACTCGCTTGCATAAAGACACTGTTCCCCAAACAAACCCTGCCTGTCCATGCTGTGCCTTTACCTGGGGGATCTTCCAGGAAGCCCTCCCTGACCACCCTCATAATGATGACTTTGTAAAGGTGACAG